TGGACCTGAAGGGCGCCGCGCCGCGCGCGCAGTACCTGGAGCAGGTGAGGGGAGAACGTGAGGGGGGTGAGGGATAAAACTGAGGGATGTGAGGGGTGAAACTGGGGGATGTGCTTGGGGCAGGTCAGGAGTGAACCTGAGGGAGGTGAGGGTGAACCTGGAGCAGGTAAGGGATGTATCTGGCACAAATAATTGATTTGTTGGGCTCAGGTGAGGGGTACACCTGTTACGGGTGAAGGATGTCCCTGGCACAGGTGAAGGATGTATTGGGCTCAGATAGGGATGTGCTGGGGTCAAGTGAGGGATGTATCTGATATGGGTGAAGGATTTATTTGGCTCAGGTGAGGGATACACCTGCTGCAGGTGACAGTGGCACTGCCCACAGCCCAGCTGCATCCCCAGTGTCCCCTCTCTCCCTCCCTCCCTCAGGTGCTGCCGCTGCTCCGTGCCCTGGGTGCCACCGGGCTGCTGCTGGAATATGAGGACACCTTCCCGTACACGGGGCCGCTGGAGGTGCTGCAGGCCCCCCACGCCTACAGGTAGCTCTGGGTACCCTGCAGGCAGCCCTGGGTGCTGCAGGCAGCCCGGGCCGTGCACAGCAGGCACTGACAGTCGTTCTCCTGCAGCCCTGAGGAGCTCCAGGCGCTGCTGAGCTGGGCACGGGCACAGGGCCTGGACGTGGTGCCGCTGGTGCAGAGCTTTGGGCACATGGAGGTGAGCTGGGCTGGGTGAGAGGGGGTGTGCTGAGCCAGCAGTGCCCGGGGGGACAGCAGGGCTGGTGGGGTCTCGGGGTGCAGTAGGAATGGCATTGGCAGCAGGGCAGGGAGTGATCCTGCCCCTCTGCTCAGCCCTGGTGACATCTGGAGCAGTTCTGGGCACAAACCATGGCCAGGAAGTTCCACCTGGACGTGAGGAAGAACTTCTTCCCTGTGCAGTGACCAGGCCCTGAGTAGGTTGGAATATCCCCATGAGAGAGACTCCACACCCTCTCTGGGCACAGCCCTGGCACTGCTCATCTGGTGTGACCAGATGAGCCACAGCGCTCCCTTCCAGCCTGACCCATTCTGGGATTCCCTGCTGGAAATTTCCAATCCAAGTCCCAGTGCTCTGGTTATCCAGCTCTGCCAGCTGCAGGATTTGACAGCAGGGTCACACTGCAGTGACCTGCCCGTTTCCTTCACCCACCCTGTGAGGTGCTCTGTGGTCAGAGACTCCCCCAGCAGCGTGGGGCAGCAGCTGAGCCCCCAGCCTGTCCCTGGGGCTCAGCCAAGCCAAACTCCAGGTTCCTGGGGACAGGAGGGCAGTGCTGTGCCGGCTGTGGTGGCTGTCCCCAGCTCCCCTTCCTTTCCCTGCAGTTTGTGCTGAAGCACAGGCAGTTTGCCCACCTGCGGGAGGTGAAGGAGCTGCCCAACGCCCTGAACCCGCACAAGGAGGAGTCCCTGGCGCTGGTCAAAGCCATGATTGACCAGGTCATGGCCCTGCACCAGGACCTGCAGTGGTTCCACATCGGATGTGATGAGGTGGGGCTTCTCTTCAGCTGGGAATGTTTCTTTTCTTTTGAGGAATCATAGCAAGGGCTGAGGCTTTTGCATTTCAGTGGTGGCCAGGCCATGTTTGGGTGGGATTTTAGGGACAGAAAACACCATTTAAGCCAGTGTAGAAAAGCCTTTTTGCCAATAAATTATTCCAATAGCACAGGTTGTCATTTCCACAGATATGAGTGTAATAGAAAAGTATTGAAAGCAGCTGCTTGAAGCTAACAGTGTTTGGATTTAGTGAGTGTTTGTAGTGAGATATCAATTAGAGCTGTTCATTAGAAATCCTGTAAATTTGGTGTAAGATATTGGCTCATTTTTCTGGGCAAGTTACTCAAAGTAAACCCTTCTGTGGTTGGAAATGTTGGGTTTTTTACCTTGGTAGTTTGTCTCAGAGAAGCTTGAATTTTTTCCTTCTCATTCTCATAGTTTCTTAAAACCATGCTGATGGCACACAGATCCCTGGAATTCATTATGAATTAACTGTACTGGTATTAGTTTAGCATTTTGTATTCTGTTGTGTTGAAACTGGTGGGAAGGCTGGACAGGGAGCTGTTATAAAGCAAAATAGTATTTATGTAGAATAAATAAAACGTGCTCTAAACTATCAAATTTTAATTCACACTCTGAATGGGACCAAGTATGCTGGGCCACCCTTGGACATGGCCCCAGGCTCCTTCTAGACTCACATTTGGATGATCTTCCCCAAGATAGGAACCTCATTTTATCTACCTCAGGTCCTGATGGATTTGAAGTGAATGGATGTGGTGAGAGCTATTTCTAGGACAAGCACTCCAAAGGCAAATATGGCATGTAGATATTTTAGTTTCTGTAGGAAAAGCCCCTCAAGTGATGCATGTGGTCATGGCCACAGTCTCCTGCAGACTGATGGAAATGCTGGCAGTGTTTTCAGCACTGAGAGGTGCTTTGGCATGTGTCTCCTCAGTGGGTCACATCTGGACAAAGGTTTGGAATGTTGTCCACCTCACTTTCTCTATTTCTGTGCAAATAAAAATAAAAATCAGGATGGTTTGCTTGGTGTTTCAGGTCTACTACCTTGGTGAAGGAGAGGAGTCGAAGCAGTGGCTGCAGCAGCAGAACAACACCCCACAGAAGCTGTGCTTGTCCCACATCAAAGCAGTGGCCACTTGTTTGGCCTGGTCCTACCCCATGGTGACACCCATCGTGTGGGACGACATGCTCAGGGGGATAAGTGAGGAAACACTGGCAGGTGTGTGAGCAGGTTGGCACAGGTAAAACAGATTCCTTGGCAGCTGAATGTCATGAAAACAACAAATCTGGCAAGAGCTGAGGTGTGGTTTGACTGGAGAATAGAAGCACTCAGTCCTTGGCTGCCACAGAGGCCCTGTGGGAGTGTGGGTGAGTCTGAACAATTCAGTTTTCCATTACAAAATGCTCAGTTCTACTTTCCTTATACATTAAAACAACAACCTATTAACATCTGTGGTCCAAGTCTAAATCTCTGTGCCCCTCACCACCTTTGGATGTTCATTGCTGCCCTTTGCAGCACCTGATCCCAAGTGGTGCAAACTCAGAGAAGCTGCAGCCCTGTGAGCATCTTTGTGATCATGGTGCACATTGTGAGGAGTTTGATACTGAATTGTGGGCTAGCTCCAAGACCTTGACATCACAAGTCTTGTTTGTGGAAAAATATCAAACCACTGCTGAAATTGGAGTAGTCTGAGCACAGATGGAGTTGCAGCATTTTCAGAGCCACCTTACATGGTTGCTGTAAACAGATTTGGATGGTAGCAAGAAGAGCTGTGCAGCTCATCCAACAGTGACTGACCTATTCAAGGCTTTGATAGAGGGAAATCATCCCCAAAAATGCAGGTGGGACCCATGGGGTTTCCACAAGAGCAGTACAGCACTCTAAGTGCACTGCCACAAAAACACAAATTGAAATGTGATGGAGTTAAAATACTGAATTTCTGCACAATTTACTGCAGTTTCTCTAAGGGTCAGTTTTATATGTTTAAAACTAGCTGAGGAGTTGATTATGAAAGGAGTTAAAGCTAAATTTGTATCTTTAGTTGTTCTTGAAAGGCACTCTGTAAGTGGAAGGGTAAAAGTTACGTTTGAATTTAGGTTAAATCTCCTCTTGTGGCTCTGCCAGTGGAATCCAGCTGGTACAGAGAGATGCAAAGAGCTGAAAACGAGGTGGGCTTGGGGTGAGTGGGGTCTCTGGTGAATTGTCACTGCTCCTCCATGCTCACCATGCCTGAGGACAGTGGGCATGTGCCAAACCCTGGCCAGGCTGAAATGCCCAGGGGCACTGCAGCTGTGCCAGCCCTGGCTGTTGGAAGCTGTGCTGAGCTCCCATTGCAGCAGGGTTCTCCATGGTTTAGTAGAGCTCTGTTCCTTTCAGAGTCCGGGGTCCCCCAGCTGGTGCAGCCCATGATCTGGGACTATGCAACAGACATCAACGTGGAGGGCAAAGGTTTGTACTTCTCTGCTGAGCTGTGTAGAAGTAAAATCCTGCCATTAAAACCTACCTTAGCTGCACACCAAAACATCTGCTTTTGTGAAATTGTTTTTTATTGCTTTCATAGCATAAAGACAGCCCATTTGATTTCACATCATAGTTGCTATTACTTATTTTCTTTTTCTATTTCTGTTTCCCCTATGAATGACTTGCATTGTAGGCTGCTTAATTCTTTTCAGCAAAGCTTTGGAATCACTGATAGGAGATTCAGAGGTTTTCCACAAGCACTGTTACATTAAT